TTACAACTCAGAGGCAAAGGCTTTTATATTTACAAGTATTGTGAGCAGCTTTCGTTTTCCCAAGTGGGCAACAATGAACTTGTTCATAACACAGCTATGGAAGCAGTAAGCCTCCCCCCAGACAAAGCCCACTCTGGAAAGCCCTCAGGTTTATGACTCTGTGTTTACACAGGGATCACACACAGTAGTACAGCCATGCATGCAGGCTGCAGGAAGACTTGGGAACGCTGATACGTCTGCACAGGCACAATGTAGATGAAGTATCTATACACACACACACACACACACACATACACCCCAAAGTCGATGTCAGAGCTAGAGAAAATTTTAGAAGTCACTTAAAAAATTTAGCCTCCTTAGCCAGGCATGGTGGCACATGCCTGTATTTCCAGTTCCTTGGACACTGAGGGAGGAGCACAGAAAGTTAAAGACCAGCCTGGGCAAATTAGTGAGGCTGTCTTATACTAAAAATTTAAAAAGGGCTGAGAATGAAGCTCAGTGGTAGGTCACTAGCCTCACCTATGTGAGGCTCTCGGTTCAATCCCCAGTATCATAAAAAAATTCCTTTATTTGACCAAGGAGGAAGTGCAGCCCAGAGAAGTGAGGAACTAGCCTATAACCACAGCTTTTTATTATTTCTTCTTTTCTATGTCCTTTGGGATAAACCTGCTCTTTTTCTAGTTTGTTTAGGGTAGAAATTTAGAACATTTATGCATCCCAAAATATCAATATGAAATGTTGTCTTTTCATTGTTAGTCTCAAAATATTTGCTAATTTATTTTGTGACTTAATTGACCCATAGGTAATTTAGAAGTGTATTATTTTAATTTCCAAATATTTGGAACTTTTTAAGATATCTTATTGTTACTGATTTCTAATTTTTATGTTTGTTATTGTTTTGTTTTTGAGATAGGGTCTCTTTATGTAGTTCACGCTGGTCTTACACTCATTATGTAGCTCAGGCTGGTCTCAAATGGCCTTAAACTTGTAGTGATCTTCCTGCATCAGCCTCACAAGAGCTGGGATTACATGTGTCTGACACCACACCCGATTTCTAATTCAGTTGTAATTTGGTCAGAGAACATACTCTGTAAGATTTCAATTTTTAAAATGCATTCATACTTATTTTATGATTGAACATATGGTCATCTTGTTAAATAACTCACATGAAAGAATGTATTTTCTGTAGTCCTTAAGTGTAGTTTTCTATAAGTATCAGTTAGGCTAAGGTGATTGACAGTGTTGATCAAATCTTCCACATCTTTACTGATTGGTTTTGATCTACTTGGTCTACTCATTATTGGGAGTGAAATATTAAAATCTCTAACTATTCAGTCACAAAACACTACATTTTATGTGATTCCAGTTATATGGACTTTCCAGGCTACAAAAAAATAAAGAGGCAAAAATGAGTCCACAGATCTTGTCAAGGTTTGGTTTTAAATTGTGTGCGTGTGTGTATGTGTGTGTCTTCCTTAAACTGTCTTAGTACATCCTTAACCTATTTTGGTACACTTAGAGTTAATATTATACCAATATTAGAATACTTTACACTTCCCACATAACACAGCCCACTTCCTGCTTCACACCTGACACTCCCAATTTACAAATGTATTATCTACAACAGCAGAATTCTCCTTTCCTGCCCCCGTACCTTGTACTACTGTCATAACTTTTGCACCTGTCATAAGCCCAACTTACAATGTTATTATTTTGTCTTAAACATGTATCCTTGAACTAAATTATGACAAGGGAAACAGTATTTTACATCTACTGATTTCTGAGCTTTGTAGAGTGGGTTTTACTTTAGATCATATTCCTTGCCCCTAGAATGTGGCATTACTGTAGTTTCAGATGGATGCCTGAAGAGTCCAAGCATTTTCCTTTTTTTCTGGGCCAAACCCTCAACATCTTCCAGAACAGTTCAACTTCTATAGTCTTCATTTTGTTCTTCATCATGTAATAGCAGTTCCTCGATAAGTTTCAGTGAGTTTCAAACTACACATTCCAGCATGGTCCTCAGGTAAGGATTTGCAGTGAACCCCCATATAGACTTAGGGGATCCCTTTCACTGTAATCCCCTCCTGTGTGATGCACTGTTTCACAGATTCCAGCTGCTTCACCAGCCCTGAATTCTGGACTCTGCTCTGCTTGCTCTCCAAACTGGACTCAGGGAAATTATCCTAGAGCCAAGAGCTAGGGTGATCGTGGTGCTCACTCTGTGTTTCCCTTCTGTGATGAATGTATTTTTCTAAGTAACCACAGGGATATCTCCCATTCCCTACTTTTCTTACAAATTCTTGTCCCACCAAGTGTGGAATCAAGGTTCCCTCCCCCTTGAAGCTGGGTGGGGTTTGAGACTGCTCTAGCCAGTGGAGTACGGAAGAGGAGATGCTAAACAACTTCCAAGTAAGTCTAGGTCATAAAATCCATTCATTCATTCTCCCTCCCCACCCCATCCTCCCCAGGACACACTATGGTGTGAGGAAGCCCAAAGTAGCCCACAGAGTGAGCTCATGCAGACACAAAGACACGGACTAAAACTGAGGCCCTCAGCGGACAACCAGCACCAACTGCAGAAATGTCGAGAAAATAGCCTTTGAAGGGTCCCAGTCCAGATGCTATACGTTGAACAGACATAAGCTGCCCTGATGTGTCCTGTTTGAAATTCTGACTCACAGTAGCTGTGAACTTAATAAAGCGTTGTTTTATTTCACTAAGTTTGGGGGTAATTTGTGATGTAACCGTAGTAATTGCAACACCACTGCTAAAGAATTGAGCCCCTGAGGAATTGTCCATTGCTGAAAATAGTTACCTCACACATTTTGTCCTGTAGTATTGTTGTGAGAGAGGCAGTCTCCAAGCCAGAACTCTGTCTGTGTGTAGGTGTGTGTGTGTGCATGCACATGCGTGTGAGTGCATGTGCAAGCATGCACGTGCAATACTGGGGACTGAACCTCAGTTGTACTGTACCACTGCACTGCAGTCCTTTTACTTTTATTTTGAGATAGGCCTAAGTTGTCCAGTCTGTCATGAATCTTTTGATCCCCCTGCCTCAGCTTCCTGGGGTTATAGATGTGTACCTCATTCCCAGCAACCTGACCAAGACTCTAATTTAAATAATATTACCTAAATAATGATAAAGATAATTTTAACATCAACAATATTGAGAACACCTAATTTCTATGTAGTAGGTACAATGCTGAGCATTTTACATACATTGGCTCCATGAAACTGTACAACAGTCTTGCGAAACTGGCATTAAGCACCATTGCTTAAATGAATCACCCTGGTTTCCATACAGGTCTGGAGCCCTATGCAATTAACCGTATAGAAACACAGATACATAAGTGCACATATATATGTATATATGTACATGCATAGACTACACAGTATACTTTCCAGAGTTTTTGTGCTTTTAAAGTATTCCTTATGCTCAGAGTTAAAAATCCCCTCCCCTCAATTTATGTTAAATAGATTGAAAGGGACTCAATCTGCTAGATATTAAGTTTCCCAAGCATACTCCAAGATGAAATTCTCTCCATCTGGCACTACCATAGGCATGGGCAGCAGTGATATTGCCTCTGTTCCCCTGCCAATGATTGCCCGGGACAGAACTTGGTGGGAGGTGGGGTGGGACCCTTAACAAGACTTGGCTCAGTAGAGGCCTTCTGCTGGGGCCCTGGGACTCTGTAATTGATGTTGTAAGAGTTTAAATTCACAGAAACAATGTGATTTTTTGAATACACAAAAGTGAAGAGCACAAAGAGACCAGGGCTAGGAAGAGGAGGGGCTGAAGGATTGGAGAGTGAATTCTTTGTTGAAGCAAGTTCTTTTCCAAGTATTCCAGATGCTGGGTGTGGTGGTGAGTGCCTGTAAGCTCAGCTGCTGCGGAGGCTGAGGCAGGAGGATTGAAAGTCCGAGGATAGTCGGGGCAAATTTGTGAGACTCTGTCTCAAAATAAACGAAAAAAAAGGGGAGTGGGGAGAGGCTAGGGATATATATAACTCAGTGGTAGAACACTTGCCTGTCACACTCAAGGACCTAGATTCAACCCCCAGCTCTGCAAAAAACTGAAACAAGTATTCCAGAGCTGACAGATGGGAAAAAAAGACTCATTCAGAGGGGCTATTTGCTTTCTGTGTGTTTCCCAAATTCAGCTGGCTCCTTCTAGAAAAAAGGAGTAGGGTACCCAAAAGCTCCCAACTGGCAGCTTTCGGGCAGGAAGGAAACTCTTAGAGGAGCAAGAGTCTCAGGACAGAGCGTTGGGATCAGTAACTTAGAATTTGTGTATATCCCTTGGTTAAATAGTGGGGAATGGGTCCTGTCATTGAGAAGGATAACACGGAGACGCTTCCTTGGGGAAGAAAGAAGTGATGCTGCTATGCTATTACAATCACCTTTATATGGAAAACAGGTGGTCCAAATCGAGCCTGGCCTAGTCTCAGAAAGAAAGAAATCACACTCCAGTCGGTTTCTGAAGAGTGAAATGAGAAATCTTCGGTTCACCCCCGCCCCCGCCCCCGCCGCCGCCGCTTTTCAAGTTCAGTCCAGAAGCACTGTTTGAATCTCCTTATCAGTACATGCAGAGAATATGTTCTGAGCTGTTTAATTGACTGCACTCACTATCTGGGCAGGGGAGCCCACGGCAGGAGGCCAGGGCTCCTGCAGTCCGCAGACGCCCTCTTGGAAGGCTTTTTCGGTGAATGCTTATAGAATTTCCCCAGTCTACGCAGTGAGCGTTGGGGTTCCTGTCCGCCCCAGTTTACCATTCCCGTCTGGTGGCTGTCCCCACTCTGGCCCACAACAATCAATGTGACCCCGTGTGCCTGTGTGTTCCTAGCCCTGGCATGGGGAAGAATTCTGCCCTGGCTCTTTGGGTGCAAGGGTGAAGGGGGCACGGGCCAGTGGGAGGGCACCCGCAGCTTGTCCGCTCCGATCAACGACCCAACGACCGGGTGGCTGATCTGCAAAGTCTCCCACAGGCACACATCCCGTACCTCTGCTTCCTCGCGCAGCTCCTGGCTGACCTGCTCCGCCGGCTCGGCGTCCAGGCCGCCCCACAGCAGTAGCGGCAGGGCGCGCAGCAGGAGGCCCACGCGTGCCACCATCGTGCTAGTGGCTCCTGGCACCCGGCGCGCCGAGCCGGGCGCACGGGACACCGGCCGTCGGTCAGCTGAGCCCGGGACCCGGAGGATGCACCAGCTCTGCGCTGCTGTCTCGAGGGCAGAGAAGGTCCCAGGGGCTCGCTGGTGCCTGGCAGCGAGTCCTAGGTCGCTAGTCTGCTGCGCTCCGTCGGGAGCCTGCAGAGGTCGCCCACCCCGGCGGTGCCCGCCCCGGTCCGCCAGTCCGAGGACTCGGGGACGGAGGAGGAGCGAAGGGAGGCGGGCTCGGCCTTCCCAGCCAGTCCCACCCACCCTGTGCTGCCCCTGCGAAGCGCACGGTCCTGGAGCCTCTACTGCCGCCTGCACCGCCCCTCCCTGCAGACCGGTTGTCTCGCCTGCCACCTCCAGTTGATCCGGATCTCTCCGAGCAAGGCCAGAGCAAAAAGCTCTCTCCAGGAGTGGTTTTGAGTCGTGGGCTGTTTTAGTCAGCAGCTGCCTTGCAAGTGCGTAGTCATGAGGTTGATCCCCACTACAAAAAAAAAAAAAAAAAACTTCCCAAAACTGCATGAAGAAACGCGAATGAGTGCAAAATGTCTTACATAGCCCACACTGCCTTCTAAGAAGGCAATGAAAAAGTTTCCTTGAAAGCTTTTGCTAAACTCCTGATGAACAAAAATAAACTCATTAACTGCCTTTGTAACTCAGAGTAGGTTGTGCCTCTCTTCCAGGCTCCATCCAGTCATTTGTGAACTAAAGTTAGACCTATGATACTGACCTGTGGAGTGTGCACAGATGAGTGTGCATAAAAATCATCTGGAATCTATAAATGCAATAAAATGATTGCAGCATTCTGACCCAAGCCTCAGGGGCCCAGTAACACAGTTGTGTGCTAGTTAGAAAAAGACAACAGTTTAGTGGAGGAATCAGAAAAATTTGAGTAGACATTTTGTGAACAGCCATTCCTTTGGCAACACTTAATTGGAAATAATATCCCTTTCTTATCTTCCAACCAACAATGAAAAAGAATCACTGCCCATCCAAGGGGGTCCAATTAGAAGTAGGTGCTTATCTGGGGAGACCAATGAAGAAAAGTCACTTTCTATGATACACTGTCTGACAGATCAGTTGAGAACAGAATTGAGGACAGATCTGCTTGTTCATCTATGCTACCCTCTTAGGGTACCCTTGTATAAATCTATAATGAGCATTTTTTCTAGGGCACCACCTCAGAAAGAGTGGAAAGGCATGGGCCTTACTCTCACAGCATATCCAGTCTAGCTGAGCTGACCAGAAGATTCTTAGATAAGGACAGAACAGACTGACTTAGCAGCTGGCTCAAGCAAAATCCTGTGGGGACCCTGGGAGAGATTCTGAAGGGGAGTGGGAAAGAGTTGCTAGAATGAGCAAATAAAAATATAGGACCCTCCAATTAAACTTGATTACTACATTAATATAACAAATAACTGTTTAATCCAACTGGAGGCCACGCAATAGTTGGGACATAATTATGCTAAAACATTATTCATCACTAATCTGAAATTCCAATTTAACTGAGCACTGTCTATTTATTTGGCAACCCAGGGTGTGTGTGCATAAGTTACAGGTATGACAACGACATGGTAGCCTTGACCAACAGGTGGATTTTGATGCTCCAGAAAGCCCTGCTTTGGAACAAGGAACTCTGAAAGTATTAGTTGGTGAGGACACTGTGGGCTGACCTGGAGTGCAGTCTGCACTTTCCAAGTCTTTCTCTCCATCTTTTCTTCCAGTATATGCCAGAGCTTCTGCACTGGGAAAAGAGGAGAAGAGGGAAGCTGTGGTTCTCTGGAGGGCTGGGTGTCTTGGAGGAAACAAGCTTGGCCGCACAGACAGCTGGCCTTGCCTTTCTTTGCATCTTGGGCTAATCCAGGCCCAGCAACCTCACAAACTAGAATGGCTTGCTGCATTTGAAAACTGACTTCCTTTAATCTTGTTAGTTGTATTGTTTTATCACATCCTGATCATTTCTATTGCTGCTTGTGGTCCCTTACAGATGCCATATGGACTTGGAGGTGCCAGTAAGAACTTAGACAGAGCAGAGCCTCTGCTACTCACACACTCACTGTGGGCTTAAACCATGCCTTTGCATCGGATACCCTCAATTCCCAGGAAGGGAGCATGTTGCTATAGTCAGTATCTGGGTAGCAGGGGGCTTTTGTCCCTTTTCACTTCCAAAGACTTCCTTAATCCCAGGGCACCAAATTCTGTGACCTTCTTCAACACCCCGAGGTCTGCAAAGTTTCACGACAGACTTGCTGTATGTTTTCATTTTCTGGGATATCGCCGGAGCTAAATCATTGGACAGGGTGGGAAAGGAGGGCAGATTACTGTACTGATGCTCAGGAATCAGGGAATCCGAGCAGGAAGAGAAGATGAGAAGGACGGGGCAATTTATTGGAAAGAGCTCATCCCATAGTGAAGGAGTGGAATAGCTTCTGAGAAGAGATTCACAAGCACATTCTAAAGATGCCCCTGCCAAAACAACACTGTGCAACAAGTCCTTCCAGGGATCTAATATTATTATTCCTTCTCTGGTGGGATGGGGTGGGGCTGGGGTGGGAATGAGGAGTTAGAACAAATAAAAATGATTAATACTTATTGCAAAATTAATATGTGCCATAGTTTATGATAGCCAAATCTTGGAAATAGTCTAAATGCCTATCAACTGGTGATAGATAAAGAAGATGTGTTTTTTTTAATACAGTGGAGTACTACTCTGCCATAAAGAAGGATAAGTTTGAGATATTCCTAGGTAAATGGATGCATCTTGAGACCATACTTTTAAGTGAAATAAACTGGACACATGTAAATACTGTATCGTTACTCTGGTATGAGAGACTGAAAGTGCAAATAAGGACCAAAATGTATATTAGATATTGTAAAATAGAAAGAATATGTTCAAAGGGAAAGGGGAACAAAGGAGGTGGAAGGGGGAAGGGAAAGAAGGGAAAAGTAAAAGGTAAGAAAAGAATGAAAAAATGGAAATGATGTTTTTTTGTAAATGGGAGGGAAGGAAGGGTTGAAGAGGAATGGGGAAAAAAAAGAATCAAGTTATATCACGTACAAGTACAAATTCTCTATGATAAATCATCATGTATACCTAAAATGTACTAATAAAATCTGACTGAAAAAATTAATACGTGCCATAGTTGTGATATGTGCCTAATATAACGCAAGCCGGTGAATCTTATGAAAAACTATGACAATCATCCGTATTTTAAAGGTGAGGGCCAGAGATTTAATTCAGGAGCACAAGCACCTGCCTGGCAAGTACAAGGTCATGAGTCTGAACCTCAGTACAAAAGAGAGGAAAAAAAAATAAAGAAGAGACACAGAGATCATATCATTTGTCCAAGGCTATCATCTAATAATGGGGCCAGGATTCAAACCTGCATGGCGTAACTCTAGATCCTAGACCTGTACCTACTACATTATCTTGCTTCAAGTCAAATTTATAAAATGTAGTTCTTGGTCACTTGAATATAATCACCTAGAAGCACCTGGAGTGGGGGAACAGACTGCTTGCCTAGTCGGCATGAGGCCCTGGTTCCATCGCACCACACCTCCTCCCAAATTTCAGACCCTGATACATACTCCAGACCAATTGATTTACTGAATACCCAATACCAGAGTCCAAGAGGAAGACAGCTCTAGATTTTCCAATGGTCTAGTTCTCACCTCTTCTCTTGTCCCATGTTGGTTGAGTGGTTTCTGACCCAAGTGGGCTGACACCACCTATTCAGAGAGAACTATCCCTCCTTTCTTCGCCTCTCAGGCCTGGGGTCTGGCTCAACTCCAAAAGGCTCCCAAGCTGCCCAAGAGTGGACAGTACTCCTGTGGAACTCCTGGTGGGTCTTGAACATTGCCAAAAGGAGTAACTAGCAATTGCCACTCAGGGCCATTTCTCCTGCTCTGCCAGAAGGCCACAGCAGGATCCCTTGAATCAGGCAGGATGTGTGGGTCTGGACAAAGAACCTCTAGCCTCAGTTTCTCTCTAAATAACAGGAGGAACAATTGGTTTTCTCTCTGCCCTTTCCTCCTCCCCAGGAAATATGTAGAAACAAAGTAGATTTTATCTGAAAGAATTCTGGGCTCTGGAGAAAGGCATTTATGGGAGGACCACCCTCAAGAAACCATAAGAAGAAGAAGAATAAGAGGAATAACGTGGGCAAGCAATGAGCTTGAGAGAGGTGGAGACAGGCTTTCTCCAGGGTTGTGAGGACTTCAGCGGGGAAATGTGGATTCATTACTGTTGCTTCTGTATCTTTCACCCCATGAAGTCCTGACTTTGTAGCAACTACCTCTGCTTATGGAGGTGAGGTTTCCTTGCTCCAGCACATGGCAGATGCAGGCTTCTTAGGCTCGATCACATTCGCAAGCACACCTGCCTACCTGAACAGAAACGCATCTGCAAATGCTCCTGGAGAAAGCAAGAAATTTGGAGTAAGACAGAACTGTGTTTAAACCTTGACTTTTTCACACTCTGGGTGACCCTTGCAAGTTAACTAACCTCTCTTGAATTTTTGCCATTTTAAAATGGGACAAAGAAGAGGTTGAGGTAGCGTAGTGACAAAACACTTGCCTGATTCATGTGAAGTGCTGGATTCAATCTCCAGCCCCTCATTCACAGAAAGACAATGGGACAGAGAATTCTTCTATTTTTGTATTACCCTCATGTGATACGGAGATTGAATGACAGAATTAGGAACTTAAATCCTATAATGTGCTAGATGGATTTCGAGAGCACAGACATGGATATACCCTCGTATATTCTGTGCACAGTTTTACACGTAAGCACATTTAAAAGCAGCAACATACCTGACCTGCCCAAGAACAACTACAGAAACATGGTCTTACTAGGTAATGCCCTGTGTCTCAGAGCAGACTCACCTCCCCAAACCCTGCTTTACCAACGGGTAGGCCTCTTTTGGTTTGTTTTTACTCACACCAGGACCCAGGAGACTTGCAAGGAGCACAATAAAAGCTCAGCCAATCTGGCAGGATGCCTTACTTCTTCCACATAAAGGCTATCTACCCACCAGGCATCTGGCCTCAAAGCCTGGGCCAGGACCTGCTCAGCATCTGCTGCTTTGCTTAAAAGACCTGCTAACAGGAAAGTGTCTGGTTCCTTTCCACCCCAAACAGGAAGTGCCTGCCACAGATGGGAGGATGGGGCAGCCTGGTCATTTCC